TTTAAATAATTAATTTTTTATTTATTAAAAATTTATAATATTTAATAAATTTATTTATTTTTTAACAAGATTACATCTTTTTTAGGGGGAAAGGGGGATTGGGGAGGCTCGATCCTAAAATCAAGAGTCTGATGAGAACTTCTATTGCAGGAAGCAATCACTGCTCGGTTCAGGAGTTCTCTAATAAATTTATTTATTAAATAACATAAAAAATTATATAAAAAATTTATTCTTATATCACTATGTTTTTTAACAGCAGGAGAGAAATTAGAGAAAATGAAACGAAAGTTGATTAGGCTTTGAGATTCACTATTAGTTGGGCGTGCGTTCACATCACATGAGTAAGCATAGAATCTCGCATATAAGATATAGGTTAAAATTAAAATTAAGTGACTTAAATGCATAGATATATATTTTTTATGTTATATAATAAAGAATATTTTTTTTTTTTGGACTCTTTTTCACCTATCTTAAAATTTGAAGTTAAAATCTTTAATTTTGAGACAAACTCTTAACTACTGAAATATTTTTTATAGACACTTATATGCATAGATATAGATATTTATAAACCTAATGAATTAATATATTGATTTAAGATGATATTTTCACATATTAAGTTTTATTCAAATGTTAGACCCCCTTAATTGCTAAACTCCAATTATAAGAAGAATGATCTGTAGACTATTGAATAGCTAATACCGTGCAAAGCAGGGCGAAGACCACTTGTAAGAATAATGATTTTTATACTAGATTTTAGGGAAAAAAATTTTGAGGTGAAATTATTTTAGAAAAATAATTGATGGGCATTTTTTTATATAATTTTATATCTTATTTATGATTAACCTTTTTTCTTCTAATGAAATTCATAGTATTACATATATTTATTTATTTAATAATAGATAAAACTTATAAATAAAAGTTAATACAAAAACATTATACACATGTCATTATCCACTATAAGAATTTTCATGTGAAAAACAACCACTACTCTATCCAGTTCTCTATTATTTTAGTTGTTGATTATATTAGTTACCATAAATTTTTATCCTAAAAGTTCATCCTATCATTATTCCAATTATATATAAAAATTAATATTTATTAACTAAATCTATAAAAAATTTTAAAA